GGATTAACCAGCAGATTTGCCCCCGTGTGATAACGTCCATAGAAAGGTTGGATTCAACTGCTTGTCTGAACTGCCTGGCAACTGACTGGGAGAAGTTGAGACCTGAACCTAGGACCTTAGGACAAACTCTGTGCACACATGCCACTGAGCAAGAGCCTTCACAGGTGTCTCCAGCTTTTCAGAAGTAATGGATTATGAATCTTTTGGTTTGGTTTGCCCTTTGTCTCTGATCCTCTTGTTATTCAGTTCATCCAGTGTCCTTGATCGTCATGTTCATTGCTGTAACATCTGAGCCTTGTCAGACCTGGTTGTTCACCTTGTCTGCCCTCTCCCTTTACAACAGTCTGTGTGAAGATCTCTCAGGGCCTGAGAGTCAATAAAAGGTGGACTCATTTTCTGAGTACATGACATTTAGATAAACCAAACCCTGCAGGACTCTTCAGCTGTCATTACAAAAATGAAGGTGGTCTTAGCTGGGGGGTATTTAGGATGGGGAGGGATGCTCTGCAACAAACACACCAAAGAAAATACTTTTCCTTTGGAAATAGAATGCAGTTAGGAGGAATGTTTTAAACCCATAGGAAAAAGTCCACTCAACTAGGTGATACAAAAATTAGGAGATGGGGAAAGAAGCAAATCATTTCCTATTTTTTTATATACCATCCTGAAAAAGAGCTGTGGAGAAGCTGGCAGCTCACCCACTGCTGTAATGATTTGATCCCAGTGGCAGCTATGGTTCTGATGTCAGTGGGACAACGGATATGTGGCAGGTTTTAGTCTAACATTTAAATGAGCTATCCAAGGTGCTGAACCTATTCTGGGGTTAGGGTTCAGCACCTGTAACTTCTATAAAGTTCATACTAACACCTGGAGCAGATTAATGACTTCATTGACATTGGCACCACTAGATTTCACTGCTTGGTCATAATAAAGGTATCAGCTCTGCTTGAAGCTTTAGAAAGTCATCCTAAGTAACAACAGGCATGGATTGCTGCCATAGCACAGTGAGAGAACATGTAGTTTGCATGCAAAAGGGACCAAGTTCAATCCCTATTTCTCCAGGGATGGATGAGAAGGACTTCTGAAGCCCTAGAAAACCATACCAAACAATAGAAATGGCCCTAAAGTAGGTGGGTTGATATTTTAATTCAGTGATCCCCAAAGTTGGGTCCATAGATGTTGTTGGCTTAGAGAACCCAGAGCACCAGGGATTGGGGATAGTGATGGGGATCCAGTATGAAGAACAGTGCAACAAATCTGGAACAGAGTAAAATACATAATAATTGTTCTGAAACTACTGATGTGTGTTGGAGTGGAATACTCTGCTTTCATGAGCTCAGGGTTGTTGTTTGTTTGTTTTTAAATCAATACCAAATGTCTCTAGAGCATACCCCATCTTGTAAATAAAACTTTCTCAAATGTTCTCTTGATTGTCCCTCTTTTTTTGTCAGCCTACACCTCCTACGAAGGCACCAGGTTCCATCTGATCTTTGATACTAAGCAGGGTCAGCCTTGGTTAGTACTTGGATGGGAAACCACCAATGCATTTCAGTTGGTGTAGACTAGAAGGAACTGCCAAAACCACTTCTGAGCATTCCTTGCCTAAGAATATGCTGTGAAATTCATAGGGTCACCATAGGTCTACAGGCAACTTGAAGGCACACTCCCACAATTCCTATCATTCCTATTTGTAAGCCATGATAGCTAGTAATTATGCGATGTGTAATCCAACAACATTTGATCACCCCAGGTTGTGATCTACTATTCTAATTCAATAGAATTTTTTTGTGTTGGGGGAACTGAATAGGTTGTAGAAAGTGTGGTGTAGTGGTTTGAGCATTCACCTAGGACTCTGGAGACCAGGGTTTGAATCCCTGCTCTGCTATGGAAATTCAGTGGGTGACTTTGGGCAAGTCACCCTCTCTCAGCCTCAGAGGAAGGGAAAGGCAACCCCCCTCTGAAAAAAATGTTGGCAAAAATATCCTGTGATAAGTCTGCCTTAGGGTTGCCATAAGTCAGAAATTACTTATGAACCAGCACTCCAGAGAGAGGACATGCCATCATCACCACCACTTTCCAGAGAAGAGAAGTTGACGCTGTGTCCATTATTTCTCTCTACCCCTAAGAATTGCTGCCTGCTGAATGTAAGAGGAACTGCTTACTTGCAGGAGTAGGCTCCAGGTTCCCCAAGTGCTGAGTCTCCAGGTACTTCCCTGACTCTGGGGGGGGGGGGTATAAGGAGCTGTCTGGGTCTTGGGCCCATCACTGCCAGGTGGAGTGAGGGTAAGGGCCATTGGCTTCTGAAGTGCATATTCTTAATAGTTTTTGTTGGTCTTAAAATAGTTTTAAAATTTTGGGTTTCATAAGAAGTTAATTGATAGAAGAATATTCTCTTTATTTTTTTTCTTTCCCTTCTTTATGTTTGCTATAATTTTAATCATAGCAAATTGAGATAATAGATAGGCTAGCAACTTTGAAAATAAATCTACTGAATCTTCAGGAAAAGAAAGGCTTAAGTCCAGCAAAATCACTGGGTCTGGACCTGAGCCTATCAGCAACCAAGGTTAAGAATGACAGAAAGATAGATCAAACCAGGCCTGGGCAAATAAATATTCATGTTATTGGCACTGAGATGAGATCTGGAAATCTGATAGGGTAGCTCAGCTTGGTTAGACATGGAATATTTGTTTGTTTATTTTATTGGGTGTTATAAAGGGAGTGCATTAAGGCAGCATTCTTGCACCCACATTATTCAACCTGTACCTTAATGATCTCTCTCCAGTTTTTCCTCCAGAGGTTTTCTATGCACCAAAACTGGCAACAGATAGTATCCCATCACTCCTGTATGCAGATGATGTTGCCCTACTTTCTTTTACTAAAGTTGGCCTAAAGCAAATGTTGAGTGTTTATTGATTACTGTAAAGAAAACCTGTTGTTGTTGTTGTTGTTGTTAACTGCCTTCACATTGGTTTCAACTCATGGCGACCCTTCTGACAAGACCCCCTGTCCTCCACTGCTCTGCCCAACTCCTGAAAACTCATACTTATGATCTCTTTAATAGAGTCTATCCATCTAGCATAGACCTGAACAGCTTGGCAGGAGAGGCCAAAATTAAAATAGGCTACATTTCTTTGGGCCACGGATAGGTTTTAATTAAATATTAATTAATTAATAATATTAAATAATACTTTTAATTAGAATTAATTAATATTAATTCCATCCTCCTCCTCCTCTGGCCAGCCCTCTCCTCAGGAGAAGGTTGAGCGATGGAGGAGCCTTGAGGGGCAGGCATTTGCCTCTCTTCCTCCACTGCTGCCCGGCCATCTCAGGGGCTTCTCAGGAGAAAGCTGGGCAGAGGAGGAGCCTTGCAGGGTGAGCATTTGGTTGTTGTTCTCCTTCACCTATCCTTCTCCTCTAGAGAAAGCCAAGTAGCTGAGAACCCTTGCAAGGTGAGTGTTTGCACATCCTTTTCCACCTCCACCACCTGTTTTTCTCCTCAGGAGAAAGACAGGTGGTGGAGGGGCCTTGCAGAGTGAACATTCGCCCTTCCTTCTCCTCCTCTGCATGGCACTCTCCTCAGGAGGAGGCTGAGCAGTGGAGGAGCCTTTAAGTTGTTCCACATCCTCGTGGGCCATCCAAAATCCTTTAGCAGGCTGCATGCAACCCCCGGGCCATATGTTGTGCAGGCCTGATCCAGCAGGTGGCCAACTTCTCTTTCTACTTCCCTCCACCATTCCTAGCATTATTGTTTTTTTCTAATTATTCATGTCTTTGCATGATGTGTGTCCAAAGTACCCTAGCCTAAGTTTTGTCATCTTGGCTTCCAGGGAGATTTCTGGTTTGATCTGCTCTAGGACCCATTTGTTTGTCTTTTTGGCCATCTATGAAATCCTCAGCACTCTTCTCCAGCACCACATCTCAAATGAGTTTATTTTCTTCCTGTCTTCTTTTTAACTGTCCATCTCTCACATCCATACATTATAATGGGGAATACAATGGCTTATATCAGGGGTCCCCACACTTTTCCGGCTGGGGGCTGGTTTGATGTCCCTCAGAACAGCCGAGGGCCAGAAAAACAAAACAAAACGGAGGTGCGTGCATGCGCATGCACGATGCCGGGCACCATTTTGTGTTTCAAAATGGTGTCTGGAGCCATGCACATGTGCTTGGCATTGCGTGTGCATGCGCACTACTCCGGTGCAGTTTTGTATTCCAAAATGGTGCCTGGAGTCATGCGCATTCATGGGCTGGTAAGAAGGCCTCGACAGGCTGGGTACAGCCCGCGGGCCGTAATTTGGGGACCCCTGGCTTATATGATTCTAACTTTTGCGCTGAGTTGTATATCTCTTTGCATTTTAGGATCTTTTCTAGTTCTTTCGGAGCCACCCTCCCCATTCTTAATCTTCTGATTTCCTGGCTGCAGTCCCTATTCCTATCAAAGTTTGATCCCAGATATGAGAACTCTTTCACTATTTCTATTTCCTCCTTGCCTAGTTTGAATTTATGTAAGTTCTCCATGGTCATAATTTTTTTCCCTTTATATTCAACAGTAAGCCTGCTTTTTCCCTTTCTTCTTTGATCTTCCTTAGTAGTTGTTCGAGGTCTGTGAGGTTTTCTGCTAGTATTATGGTGTCAGCATATCTCAGCCTGCTAACCATTAATTTCAGCAAAACCAAAATTATGGTTTTTACCAAAAGCCCCTCCCTGACTAAATGGGTCTTAGCAGAACAAAACATTGTACAAGTTAGATGGTTTAAGTACTTATGTGTCATATTTCAATCCTCTGACATTTGATTATCCCATCAGATGTTTGCTATTCAATCTGCATCTAATGGTGCCAAAGCTCTAGTCGATATATGTTCACACACACACACACTAAAGGAGGACAGTGAATTCCTGCTGCATTCAGGGTATTCCAGGCCAAAGTGTTGCCACAACTGCTGTTTGGCATCCCAGTCTGGATTCTGGGGTTTTCTTCAGCCCTGGAATGAATACTTTCAGCTTTTCTGTGACAATTGCTCTGTGTACCAAACTGTGCCATCAGTAGTCTTACGACTTGAAACTGGCTGTTCTTCACTGGAATGTACTGCTTGGTGTTGAGTACTAAGATATTGGCTAAAACGTTTTTATGTGAAACCTGAATCGGGTTATTTGCATCTTCTTCAGGAAGACAACTATACTAGCCAGTGGTCTAAAACTAGCAGAGACAAATTATAGACAATAGGTTTCTCAGACATCTTCTTTACTACCCAAGACTTTTCTAAGGCAACATTTATTCTTGCGCTCTGGGTTACCCCCCTGCAACATAGATATGCAATATTCTGTCAAGACATAGGCCCAAAACACACTGCAGAAATAATCCGGTTTGAGACTGCTTTAACAATATTGGCCCAATGCTAGGGAATTCTGAGAATGGTAGTTTTGTGAGACATTTAGCCTTCTCTGTCAGAGACCTTTGGTGCCATAATAAATTACAATTCCCAGGATTCCCTATGACTGAGTCAGAGCAGTTGAAGCAGTCTCAAACTGGATTATTTCTGCAATGTGTTTTGGACCATAGATATGTAATATTCTTTATGTGCTGCTCATATTACCTGATCCCAAATTACGGCTGTCTTTTAACACAAACAGGAATGCTAACTATCTTGAAATGTTAACCATATCTAAATACCATATGTTTTTTACTATAAGCTGAACTTAATGTCATTCCTTCCCTGTGCTGGATGGTCATTTTCAGGCAATCCCTTATGAAAAGTTCCTTTTCTCTGCTGCTAAAACTCATAAAATTATGACTCAGACACATACCTAATACTTGGGTTTTGTCTCCTTTTAATTGTACTAAATGATATCAAATGTACTAATATAAAAAAATATTTTAAAGAACTCTTGATATTCCCCTGGTTTGTTTTATACTGCTCAGACTTTTTTTAAATCATGTCTTGTATGATGGATTTCTTGTGTTTTAATGGTCTGTGACTGTACAATAAAGATTGATTGAGCAATGGCTTGAAGGCACACAACAGCAACATCAAGGCCCCCCTACACTATTTAACATAGAAAAATACCCATTTTTCAAAATGAGAAATAGAGGCTAAGCTTATCTGCCTCTCCCACTATAACTATGATAGCTGGCAGAGTAAAAACAGTTGGGTGTATATGGATGGGGAGGATGTGAAGAAGTCCTCCCATAGAAAGAGTCACCTCAGAAGCACCAGAAAGTGTAAGCCCACCCTTAGGTTAGGCCAATTGCCCCCCTTTAAAATTTAACAGTTGCCACTATCTCTGACAATGTGTTGCTCTGACAGGCCTTGTCACAAGCAATGAACCTGCAAGATGAGCAATTTGGGGGAAAGGACTTGAAGTCTTGACTCAATCTGCTGAAAACTTGAGTGCTTTGTTTGACAGGTTACAGTTTGCCAATTCCCAGATGTACCATCTTAATGCTGAAAAAAATCAACCTCCATCACTCTGTGGCCACCCCTGCCAGTGCTCTTGTTTGTGCAGCGCTACGGAAAATGACATCTCGGATGGAATGAAATGTCAGGGTGGAAAAAGGCTTGGGGCGGTCTTTTTGCTAGCCTTAGATTAATGTTTCCCAAATAGCTGGTGCATGCTTCTAAAAACAGAGGTTGAAAGAATGCTTCACTTGCAATGGTGCTGAGATTCAGGAATATGAAACTCATAATAATTTGGCACCCCATGGGCTAGTTAAGAAAGCAACCCAGATTTCAGTGAAGTTCTGGTTTGGCTCATAGTCACTTTAGGGCAGTGGGTCTTAACCTTTGGCCCTTCAGATGCTTTTGATTTAAGCTCTCAGAAGTGCCATCTAGCATTGCCAGTGCCCAGGGATTCTGATAGTTTAAGTCCAAAATATCTGAAGAACCA